AGATTTAGAATAATTATCATTTTGATCCATACATTAGTAATGTCTGACTGGGCCTCGTGTCACTTTATGTTCAACAAATAGGGCCCTGAGGTCAAAAAAGGTTAAGAACCCCTGATTTAAAGCATAAATATAGAACTAAATTCAACATAACAATATGAGACTTCTACTTCACGGGACTAAAAAAAAAAGACAAACCCAAATTGGACTACAACAATTTGAAAGAATGTACTTGTTGTAGACAGAAAGATCAGTTTTGTAATGTGGCCTGTAAACATACAACATGCTCACACAGCTGCCCCTGCTACAAGTGAAGTCATTGCATATTTAAAACATTTATATAGATGTATAAATTATTCAGCGTGTTCCATCAATAACACCATAAAGGAGTCATGTTTTGATGCTTATTGAGCTGCGATTTCTGATGTAGAACAAGAGTGGCAATGCTGGAGAAGAACAGGCAAGCGTGGTTATGAATGTCAAAATCTAACCAGAAAACAGGGTACAAGAATAACAGGCATGTTCTCAAACAGCACCAAAATATATCAAACAAATAGCCACTTCCTGACATGTTTTTCAGATTCTTCGTGGATCAATATGGCTTCAAAGAATCACATTTTATGAATATATGCCACGTCTTGTACACAMAATAAATATATATTTTGTGGTTTGTTTCTAGGGAAAAGATGAACAAAGGCATCACGGAGAAGGAAAAAAAAAGACAGCCACCACTTCAATTGTCAATTGTCAAGTGTCAAGGAGAAATATAGGAGAAGAGAGCACAAACACTTGTCAGTAAAATGTGGCAGCACAGATGTGTGAGAAAAGAAGAGATGTGAGATGAGAAGAGAGGTGAWAAACAAAAGATGTTAGAGAAGGTGTATGTCTGAGTTCAGAGGTAACACTGGTGAATGATGTCACCGATTCACTGCCCTACTAAAATTGATGTTTTGTTGCTTGTTGCCTCAGTTAGTATCATTCAATGCATCTTTTTTTATTTTACATGTGAGCATGTCTGTACAACCAGCCTGCTTTTACATTAAAATGAAAACATCTGCTGACAGGTATGTTCCATTGCAAAATCTAAACTAGACTATTACACAAGAGTTTTTCATAATTAGATTTTATTTTTCAGTTCATACCCTAACAAAAGAACTGATCCAAGCTGAATGGATGAGCAAAAATACTTACACTTTTAAGCAAATCTCGTCACTCCATAACAACTTTGTGGTTTAAGTGCCTTTCTTCTTTTAAATTTGTTTTGATGAATTTTACCGTCAGTTTTGCTTTCACATCCACTGAAATATCAGCAACGGAAGCAGGTGAAGAGATCACTCAGGTTAACTGTGGCGTCTGAGGTTTATCGAGGTTTGTTAGAGCATCCGACTGATTGGCAGAAAGGCACAGGGCATCATAGCAACCTGAGAAAAAACAAGCATAAAGAAAAAAGGAATGCAAAAATCAAGCATACATCTTTGAAATATTTTCATCAAGATATTATGATGGTATTAATTATTCTATAGTACAAAGTCTATTTTACTATTCAGAGGTATGTGAGCATTCAAAATACATATTAAAAGTGCTGTAACACACTTGATGTGTTAAAGAAAAATAAGGTCCAGACTCAGCTGGATTACCTCACACATGCAGAGGTGAAAAGTAAAAATAACGAAGAATAAAACAGGAAAAACGCCTTTCTACTCCAGTACAAGCTGGGCTCAATTTTTCCAAATGTTTCAAAGCTGCTGGCATTGCATGTTCGCCATGAAAAACGCTCACTTAACCTTGCAAACTGAAAGGCTAAAAAAAATCCTGTATAATAGGGCTCTTAAAACTCAGCTCTAAGGCTGTAGTATAACACCTCTGAACAGTTGGGAGGTTTTTTTAGCATGTCAGTATTTCTCCTCGACAGAAACAAAAGCTATGTTTTAGGAATTTTTTTTTACGTTGACCAATGTGCCTGTGATGCAAGGCATTCACAACAGGAAACAGACTGTACTGCAAAGCTGACCTTTGAACCAGCAGCACACCAAGATAAATTGGAACTTTCAAAATATGGGTAGCAATACTTAAAACAGCCCTGTTCTTACAGGGTTTGAACCTGGTTCTCAGTACACACTTGGAGTAAGGGTAGGGTATGCAAGTATCACGTACCAGCATGTAACAAACACAATAAGTATGAGTTGTGTACATGTAAAGTGGTGCCTGATAAGTATCAGGTATGTACCCTATAAGTACAGAGTAATAAGTCACTTTATAATATAAGCTTTTCCTCTGGGTGTGTATCTTGCAAATAGCAAGTACCAAAAAAGTAGCAGGTACTATCTGATAAGTACCTATTGACTATCTGTGTATACAGCAGGGGTGTCAAACCCATTTTCAACGAGGGTCACATGAGAGTTATGGTGGCCCTCGAAGGGCCASTTGTAATGAACTTTGATGTTTCATGTTTAACTTTGACTAAACAGAGTTTTAACAAGTCCTCTTTAAAACACTGATAAGAACTAAGTGTATGACTGACTAAATCTGAAATAAATACATGAATATTATTAAAAGTAATATAAATGAAGTTTTATTCACTGATGAATTTCTAGTGAGTAGCTGCATTATGTCAGATTTAGTTTATGTTTGATGGTGACTTTAAAGCAGCTTATTTTCAGACATTAGCACTGTGCTATCCAACTAAATTGCTCAGTTACTTCAAGCCAACAGCTCAGGGACATGATTTTTTTTCATTTATTTTTATTTCATTAATTTTTTATTAAATTAAAATTAAAATTGGTTGCATTTAACCATAAATTTAAAGTTTACTATTGATATAAGAAACAAACATCATGTTAAGAAAAAAAGTGTGTGTGTGTGTGTGTGGGGGTGGGGGGTACCCCCCTGGCGGGCCACACGGGAGTCACCCGCGGGCCATATTTGGCCCGTGGGCCTTGTGTTTGACACAGGATGTTATACATATTAGTATTATTACATAGGTTTTTCATCCATCCCCCCTTACCAATAGCAATACCAATACAGGATAACTAATCACTTCATAATACAGTCTGGTCACTTGGGAACGTAAACTCTAAGAACCAGGTACACCTGATAAATACTAAATACATATCCAGGTAATGCAGGTACCGAGTACTGTGCGTTCCTGGTAAGCAGGGAGTTGTTCAGTGTTTTACCAACCAAATATGAATCATGCTTTTGAAGGATAGTGTCACAGTTTTCTTAAACACGGAACAATTTAGCTAATTGGGGAACTCCAGGCTCTCTGTAGCTCCTATTTAAAATGACAGTCATTACAAAAAGGCATTAGAAAGAGTGTGTTTCAAAAATAATAATGCGATACATGATTCAGAAATTTTTTAAAAAAGTTTTACACTTTGGTATTTTCTGATGAATGCTGCAAAACAGATCACTGATTTTACAAGCAATGATAAAATACACCTTCTTACTTTCATTTGTCTTTTATGAGAATTTAAAAAAAAGCATCTTCGCCGCTATTACACTGTTGATTTTTTTTCCTTTCGACTTTACTAAATTCAGTAGAGAGCTGAAAGCACAACCATTTTCTTGCTGTCTCAATCATCCCATTGACTAAGTGAGGAAACACGGAGGTCATTAATGTTTCATGTGAGCGCAGTCATCACCAAGCACTCTCTGGTTCAATCATTAATTCATTGCACAACAGACAGCACTGAGTACTGTGGCTCATTACAACAATTACGTAAATACTCAGACTGTTTCTGATTATTCTAATCATTATATACTTGGAAAAAATGAAGCACTGCATGTATCTGATGGGTGTTACCCATACTATTGTGTGAATAAAAATGAATATAAATTATTCATCTGAGGGAGACAAGGCGTTCATTATTCGTTTATTCATGATACTCAAAGCAGATAATTTTGAGACTGTATTTTGTGTTTGGAGTTGATTTTTTTAATTAAGTACTTGACCAAAAGTTCAGACTACGGTACTGTTTTTTGTAAGGACCAGTTTGGGTCTTTCTGTACAGTTCCCTATGCTGACAAACGGCTTGAACAACCAGGGGGGAAAAATGCTGACATTTGCTGCAAGAAATAAAGACCCGTCAAACCACAAGGACGAAACAATAATCTCTTACAATGTGAGACTTTATGCAAGTTACACCCACGCAAATTCTGAGCCGAAACTGAGTGGTCTGCCGAGCACGTGGGCAGGTCCAGAAAAGCTTCTGTAGTGGAAAATAGCCAAGATTTTTTATTTATTTATTTTTAACACCCATATCAGAGGATGAGAGAATAATCTCCAGCCTCGGGTTTGAGGACTCTGAAAATGACACTTCTGGGACACAATATAGGTGAAACTAGGGACAGGAGATGATAATCATGGCAATTATAGCTTCACTCGTTCAGCTGCAGCTCAGCTGAGGATAACAAGTAAGCTTCTTTCCTGGGATTCACTATAAATGGTATGAAATGTAAGAAAAGAAAAAAGCCATCCAGCATAAACTGTGATGGAAATAATGCCAGTTGTAATAATTTAGACACTTCATACTCATCTTTATTTATTGGGACCTTTCATGTCAGCTTCATGCACTCGCTGTTCCTTTGAACAATCTTTCTTATTAAAACGTTCACTTGCTTCAGTCTTTCAGTAGTTACAGGCAGTGACAACATGAAACTTCCTCTTCTCATATTAAGCAGAATGTTGCACCACAAATTAACAATCCAGTGTCTGGCCTTCAGGCATGACACAGACTCACAGCAAAGAAAGTGCCAAGAGTCAAACTCGTGGAGGGATTGTATGCATTTAGAACTGATCGATGCAGGGATTTATTTTTTATTCAATTTATGTAGTATCAGCTTGTTTCACCACACATCTCACACTCCTAAAACATGTAGTCCCTAAACTATAATCCTTTTGAACCACTTTTACTATAGAGCTGGACAGAAAGAAGACAACAAAGTCAGAAAAGAGCTACTATCAGTCTGATTGTAGCTCTTTTAAGGTAAAATAAAGGAACTTAAAATGCATCAGAATAAGTTATTTTGGCTCATAGCCTTGTGATTATTACATGGTCAAAATACATGCACCTACTGTATCACAGGATGTTAAAAATCAAATGACACTGCTTTAAAAAARCCCAGAATGAACTCAATTGCACAAGAGGAGTGAACATAAAGCACAAAAAAGTCAAGCCCACAACTCATACATATGTATTATTAACATGTAACTGGAATGCCAATACTGCCTTAGCTGTGAGCACCAGTGGATGCCAATAGGCTCATCAGTGACAAACTTCAATATTCAATATCACATCTTTGAAATGCATTGCTGTGGCTGTAAATACAAGCCTTCTTAAAATCCACATTCACAGACATCTTGTATTATCTACTTATCTAAAAGGGCTTCACATACCATTTCCTTATCTGTAGTGTGTTAAAATATAGAATTGTATTAACATTATTGGTCTGCAAAGTAACAACTGTTACTTTTTACACACTGCTGAGATAATTGCAGACTATAACCCAGAATTTAGCTTTTTTTAATTTTATGTTTTACTTTAACTGGCAACACATTTTCATAGATTTTGCCTGCTGTTTGGTTTGCCCCAACTTTACCAATAAACAAGATCCCCCCTACATATCACGCTTTTAAATCCTTCTTTTTTATATTTAAATCATTAAGTTGGGGGCTATACAAAGTGGACTGAATTCCCCCTTGTAACACCACAAGCCCCTCCTTTACCTTTTTTCTGAGGTGTGTCTAAGATCAACTCGTTTTGAGGCTGTCTCTTTAAATCCAAATGAGGCTCTTCCCACCCTGCAGCCCTCCAGTTTTCAGAGCGATCCATTGTACCTTCATAGAGGGGTTTACGACTATATGGCGGTAGAGAAATTTTTTATTTACAAATTAATTAAAAGCTGTCATTAATGCAAGACTTGTACATTCAGCCTTACAGAGTCTGACCCAGAGTCAGAGGAGAATGGAGATGACAAAATTGTAGCTGGCAAGTAGACCTTATCTGCACATTTCATCACCAAATAGTTAATTAATAGTTCAGACAACTTTACAGTAAATAGAGAAAACTGACCAGGTTGAAAAATATGACTAAAAACAATATAAACATATCTACACAGCACCAGGAGAGACTAAACTCAAACAAGTACACAACAAAAGTGGATTTTGCATCAAATGTCCCCTTTAAACAGAAGAGGTGCAAAACAGAAAAAAAAATTGTGTATCAATGAAACATTATGGGAAAGTCTAAACTCTAAGTAGACACAATATCAGAATAGAAACACTGAGTCATGTCTGTGTTGTTGTGACAGTGTTGTGTTGCTCATGACTTTACATGATTCACAACAAACCTCCTTCAGCTGTTTCTCATTTTACACTGAAGAAATTAGTAAATGATGTGTCTATCAAAGCTCCCAGGAC